GCTGCCTCCGGTGCCGCTGCTCGCAGCTGTGCCGCTGCCTGGCTGGGCGGCCGCTTTTATGGGCCCCCTACTCGGCTAAGCCCCGCCCCCTAATCAGGGCTCGGCGTCCCTCCCAGCACCCTGCCCCTGGTTAGACTGGACACCTGGATGAGCTGCACTGTTTCAGCTATTTAAGGTTATAGTAACAAATCTGTTGATGGTCTGGAAAGAATTTTCTGCATGGATAAAACAGCTACAGTTAAGACATCACACTTTTATAGTTTTGTGGTTGAAAGCTTTTTTTACTGCTTAAATTAGATTTATATTCCATGGGATCATGACTATTAGCATTACTTGAAAATTCACTAGTTACAATACATTCTTGGAACCAGAATAAAGACACAAATTTAAGTGTAAGGCTTGTTCTCTCATTGAGAAAGTGCACAGCAAATGACGTAAGTTCTGGGATATCAAAACACTGGTTACCTTTTGAATTTTTATAGCAAACTCACAGAAATCATAGATCAAAGACAGAGTTAACAGGTAACATGATGATTTTTATAAGTGTGTGTACAAGGGCTTTTTTTTTTTTTTGAGATATGTAGTGACATGTGCCTCATATCAAATAATTCCTCTTTCCCTAGTGCTAAATGCATAGAAATAGAGGATGAGATACACAGATTAAATGGGTCATTATAGCTATCAACCATCTTTGCATTTTGTGTGTTGATATTGGACCTGAAGATGAGTTAAATACTGAGAATTTGCCAAAAAATAAAGTTGGGCATATTTTCTTGCTTAAAACCATTGATTATTGCCTCAAAATTGTGTATTTGATCTCCCAAATACAAAGCATATTACTAATAGTTTGTTCTGGAACTTACAGTTTCGCCTGGCACCAGTGACATTTCAACCTATAAGAACAGTTCAACTTACTCCTTTACAGGACAATAAAGTCAACGCAAAAACTGATAGCAACAATATTTTGAGTATTACAAATTCTGTACCTATGCCTATAAAACCATGTATCAAACTTTACCAGCCTCAATAAGCCAACCTGTAGCAAGGGCAGGCTCAAAAGTCATCAGAACAGGCTCCTACTAGTGCTTCTGATAGCTCTACTTCAACAGGAAACCTGGACTCATTCAGAATGGATAACTATTACAAATGCTCTGAAGACTTGAAAGAACAAGCAAGTGAAATAAAATTAAAATGCAGCGAAGCTGATATAGGTATTAAAACTGAGCAGGGTGACTTTGAAAAATATCAGCTTTCAATAACCTATGAAAATTCAGATATTGTGAACACAGCCAGCGTTTTTGATGACAGTCATGCTTACTTCAACTCAAGTGAAGTGACAAACACCAAGGAGAACTGTGAAATATTTGCAGTTCAGTGTCCTGCATCAAGCAATGCAGACACTGTAAGAGCTGGAAACTGCGAGAGAGCTTTAGCACCAAGGACTGCCATTAGAACTTATCTAGAGGAAGTAGATGTTTCAGGGGTGATACCTGCTCATAGTTGGTGTGCAGTTGTAGACAGTGTGAACGCTGTGCTTGAAAATCATGGTTTAGACTCAAGCTGCAAAAATGAAGTAGTAGAATCATATCATATGCTAGAAGATAAATCTGTAGCTAAAATCATTCCTCGCTTTTCTGCTGGGAAAGCAGAAAACAGTGTTTATCCAGTAGTCTTTGGAACAACTGAAAACATAGCAATTTCAGAAGCAACTGAAACAAAAATCAATAAACCGGTACCTCTTGTCCATATTACACTATCTGAACATGAGCCACGTAGGGCACTAGAGATTGCCAAATGTCCCACCAGAAAAAAGGAGATCATCCATAGCATGCCTCCTAATATGAGTCACAGCTTCAGCATACTTGCTTACAAAGAAAATGACAATAAAATAAAAACTAATAGAAATAGATCTGCTTCAAAGACTAAAATGAGTAGCAAAGTACCTCAAGATTTCTCTGTTTCTGATGAGCGTTCCACAAAATGTAACACCCACAATACCAACATCAAGAATCAAATTTTCCCTTCTGTTGGACTGTCTCATGTGGAATCTGAGGCTTCCTCAAAGCTTCAGAAAAAAAGACCTCAGATGAAGAAACACCATGTTCTTCAGAGTGCTCAGAAATCTAAAAAGCAAGCATTTCCTTATATCTGCAAAAGTTCAAGCAGCTTAAAGAAACATGTTACTCCACTTTCTGTTCCACGAACACAGTCTGCTTCAGATTTCTTGAATTTGAAATATAGTGACATGTTCAAGGAAATAAATTCAAATGACAAAGGCCCAGGGATTTATGAAATGTTTGGGACTCCTGTATACTCCCAAGTGCGTGGACTTGGTCAACATGAAAGCAGATTTTACAGGGAAGTTTGTTCTGCTCCACCTGGGAGATACGCAGCTAATAGACGTAAATCTACCTGCACTATTGAGAGAGACAGCAGCAAAATAAGAAGCACCCAGAAAAGAACACGTTCTAAACCCAAGAACACAATTGGCATTAAACAAAAGCACAAAGACTTAACACCAGAAGAGAGAAGTTCTGAGTTAAGAGATAGCAACACGGAGCTGGAAGATGATGTAATAATTTCTGGTCCAGATTGGCACATAAAAACTTCAAGGAGCAAGCCATTGTTTAACGAAGATGAAGGTCAGCAGTTTCTGGTTTTGAAAGAGTTTTCACAATTCACTAAACAAAATGAAATCATTCCAAATTCAAACTTGTCAACTATTAAAGAAGTCCCTTTGGAGCAGTCTTCAGATAATAGAGATGTAGTTAACAATCAGATACTTGCAACCAATGTCCACAATTTTCAGCAGGTTGATGATAAACATCATGCAGAATGTGTTGCTTTAGTGAGCAGTTTACTAAAGACAGATCAGAATAACAAGTGTGTAGTCCAAGGAAGAGTGGATATGGATGACTCCATGAATCTGGAAGCAAACCAGACCTCCTGCAAATCTATAGATAAATATGAAGCACTGTTTGCATTGTCTTTTCCAGACAGAGCAGACTGTGTATCTTCTCAAAGAAAACTAGATCAGAGTTGGACACACATGTCTGAAAATTGTAATTCAGAAAATGCATCAACTCAGCATCCAACAAACCAGACTTTGAATGCTGCAAGTCCAGCTTTTCAGACTTATCAAAACATTCTGGACTATGCAGATAATGAAGAACTGACTGATGAGTTGCTTTGTTGCCTGGCGGCAGAGCTGCTAGCACTCGATGAAAAAGATACTGCCTCTTCCAGAATACCTACAAAGAATACAGGTTCTAAAACACAAAATGTATTTGCTAAAGAAGAAAGAGGCAGTGTGAATGAAGATGGCAAAGTAATAGCAAGTGCAGAGGAACAGGTAAAAACAAATTTCCCATATCTTGCTAATTGTTTCCCCATGCTGTAGCAACACCACCAGCATGGAAAAACAGATGAGCCCCCATATTAGTCAAGCAGATGGTAGCCTGTCCACATCCAGAATATTTGTACCTCATCCTGGTGTGCAGACAGACTTGCCCATTGGAGATTTTCCAAAACTAGAAAACTGTAGTTAGCCTACACTCCTTTGACTACCTAATCTCTTTCTCAGAATCTCAATAAGCAACTGGGATCAGCAGAGTATCCATCTTGAAGACCACCAGAAGTGACAAATAAGCCTGACCAACAGTGACCATATTCCAGGATGAAAGGAGTAATTATGGAGAAACTAAGATGGGCAAGGCTAAAATAATAAGCAGTGATATAAACTGGGGAAATGGGGTCAAGGAAAGGGACAAGAGATATTTCTGCCACAGGAACAAACCCATACATTTCCTTTGGCCAAGGCAAAAGCAAGGGCTCTCTAACCCTATTTACTACAAGTGGTGCCTGCCTTCCACAGAGGGCCACCTCCTCCTTTTGGATCTATGTTAGCCATCAGATGGCTGCTCTAAAAATGACCATGTGTTGGCTTATCATAGAAGATTGAAATGAGTTTAAATTGGGAAAAATAAAATAAAAATAAGAGAGCTCTATTAGGGAGGGAGCAGAGCAAAGTTATAGGATACTGAACTGCGCCTCAAGACACCTGGGCACGCTTCTGAGCTTAGCCACTAACCTGCTGTGTGACCTCATGCAAGTCATTTCACCTCTCTACTTCCTCCCCCCCATCCCCTTTGTAATTTCAGGGCAATTATTTTTCAGTGTGTGTTGGTGCACTGCTTAGCACATTAGGGCACTGATATGTAGATGCTACTGTAACACAAAAATAGTAAATACACACCCACTTGATAGATTTCACTTTCCCTCCTCATAAGCATCCCTGGGTAGATAGGGAAACTATTTCCCTTCATTCTGAAACGGCCCCTTCCAAATTAGCTCCAACTTGTTTTAGAGCAATTGTTCTGGAGGAAGCCATTTCTAGGGCTGGGATGTATTTAAATGTATTATCTAGTCCAAGGCTAGTGTCAGGTTGATTCTTCAGATTAGTAAAATTTAGGTACTTGAGAACCAAGGTGACAGACAAGGGGATACCCTGCTATCAACCTTTCTTCCCAGCTGGATTCCCTAGCATGCTTTCTCACTGGCATTCAATAGTGCCTAGGTACCATACTTACACATTACTTAAAAGTACTTCTTACATACTTGTCATTGTGCCTATGGGCTGACCAGGAGCCTTGTAATTTGACTACTCTAAAGAGATATTATAAAGAAGAATATCAGATTATCGTTTTTTAAAACATGTGAACAACATTAAAATGAAGCCTTTATCTTCCTTTCTCCTCTGACCCACCCTCTCCCTGACTACCACCTCTCTAGCAGAGTTACAGTAAAGCGTTCCTGGCACCAAAGAGGGAAAGTGACTTGTTGAACTTCAATGAATCTACAGCATTTCCAGAAAGCAGTCTAGGTAATAAGGCTCCTATCACATGGACGAGAGGTGAAATCCTTGGAAAGGGAGCCTATGGCACTGTAAGTTAAAGTCTGAATATTTTTAAAAATATACATTTGCCACAAACTACATAATTTCTTTATAACTATTTCCCCTATTATCCCATTTACTGTATGTGTCAAAATATTTTGGATTATACAGAGGAGTTCTAGATCAACTTCCATGATACATTTATTTTTTAAAAAGCCTGTCTTTAATTCATATTTAATTGTTTTCAAATACTGCAGGTGTACTGTGGTCTGACAAGCCAGGGACAATTAATAGCAGTGAAACAAGTTGCTTTGGATACCTCAGATAAAGTCACTACAGAAAAGGAGTATCAGAAGTTGCAAGAAGAAGTTGACCTGTTGAAAACACTAAAGCATATCAACATTGTAACCTATTTAGGAACCTGTTTAAAAGATAACATTGTAAGCATTTTCATGGAGTTTGTTCCTGGTGGCTCAATTTCCAGTATTATTAATCGTTTTGGGCCATTGCCAGAAATTGTCTTTTGTAAATATACAAAACAAATTCTACAAGGGGTTGCATATTTACATAAAAACTGTGTGGTACACAGAGATATCAAAGGCAATAATGTTATGCTTATGCCAAATGGTGTAATAAAGCTGATTGACTTTGGATGTGCAAAGCGTTTAGCATGGGTAAGCCTGGGTGGCACACACAGTGAAATGCTCAAGTCTGTGCATGGGACTCCATATTGGATGGCACCAGAAGTAATAAATGAATCTGGATATGGAAGAAAATCCGACATCTGGAGCATTGGATGCACTGTATTTGAGATGGCAACGGGTAAACCACCTCTGGCTTCCATGGATAGGCTAGCAGCTATGTTTTACATTGGAGCCCATAGAGGACTGATGCCTTCTTTACCTGACCATTTCTCAGGAAAAGCAGCGGACTTTGTCCATGTGTGCTTAACCAGGTAAGTAGTTTTTTTACTTTTATATGTATTTTGATCTTTGATGGTTTTTCAAATTGTTTGAATGTTGCTAATCATCAGTGGAAGCTTGGGTTAGCTCTTATAAGATAAAATGCCTATATAAGGTTTCATTTACTTAGCCTTCCAAGAAGGCTTGAAGTAATACTAAATATGAAGGTTTCAAATTCCATAATGCCATATATCAAAAGTTATGAACCTCTTGGGTTTTTCCATCAAATCCTGGCCTCACTATTTATATGGAGCTATAGCATGCCATGGATGTTTAGTTAAATCTCCTGAGTTCAGTGGAGACACCTTCTTAAAAATGCCCATTGCCAGGATCTGACTTGGGGCTAGCCAGGATCTGACTTGGGGCTAGCAAAGGGAAACAACTTACAAGACTGGGTCATAAATGAGGGAGCCCTCACATAACTCTTTACTTTTCTATTAGAAAATTCTTTAGCCATTACCACTCTAGAAAATATGTTCTCTTTCTGAGAGAGAGAGCACATTCCATACGTCATTCAGCAGACCTGGGTGTTGTTTTGCAATGTTTACTTTAAATTTTTTTTTTTTTGAGATTTTTAAAACAGCAGTTTACTCCCAACACAAAAGTTACATTTGAACGGGTAGGAACAGCACAACAGGCAGTTTCCTGCTGTCTGCAGGCATTCTAGTGAAATTAATGGGAGACTTATGGGCAACTGAGGAAAGAATTTGAACACCATAGAGGCAAATGATTTAGTGGATAAAGCAGTGGCTGGAGAGTCAGGAGACCTGGGTTCTACTCCCACTTTGTTACTGACCTGCTATGTGACCTAGGGTGAGTCACTGCCTCTTCGTGCTTGCTTCCCCTCCCACAATACTGTGTTGTTCACCTAGGTCCCAAGGGAAGAAAATCCTATAAAATAGCTATTGATAGAGAGAATGTAAAGGAAAATGTGAGTATTCATCAGACTGGGTGATTTTGCATTTACTAAGACGCTTCCATCCAAGATTTTTAAAGCACTTTACATTAAATTAGCATTAATACCCCTGTGATGCAGGTATTGTTCCAGTTTTACAGAAATGAAGGAAGGAGCACAGAGATTAATTTACTTGTCCATGGTCACAAAGAAAGGCTGTGAAGAGGAAGCCAAATCTAAGTCTTACGGCACTCCATCCCATGCCTCAACCTCAAGGCCAGCCTTTTCCCCTTGATATACATCTAAAGACATTGAGAATTAACCTCACCACACCCCGCCCCCAAAAAAGTGCCTTACTGTACAACTCTCTTTGAAAAATCATGGACAACTACAGATGGGAAATTTGGTACCACGTGGGTTTTGGTATTACATCTGGGTTTACTTACAGTCTTCATTAATAGGAAAGAGGAATTAACTAGAATGTTAAAATCTGCATAAAATACTAAGTTAGAAGCAGCTTCAAACAAAATACAAATGATCAAGAAAAATTAAATACATGGGCAGAAAACAATATTAGATTCAGTTTGAAAAAATGCAAATTGAAACATGCATATGGAATCCCAAACAGAGGAAGGAAACCTAGAAAACACAGTCTTTCGAGTGTTCAATTCTTGTGACTTTATCATTACTCTTGTCATTTGGGATGTTCTTTTCAAAAAGTCTTAGCTCCTGGAGTCAAGTGATTCAACAAAAATCTCAGCTTTCATGTAATAATAATAATAATAAAAAAAAGTTTCTAGCCCACATAGTTGTGGAGATAAGCTTGAAATTATGACCATAGTCTATCCCAAAGGCTCAAAAACAGAAAGGGGAAAAAAAGTAGCCAATGCAGATTTGGTCACTGCACATACATAGAGTCAGCAAGCAAAGAAATAAATCATTCTTTAAATAGCTTTGATGCAACTGCCCCTGGAATAGCAAGATTACAAGAAAGCGATTGACTAATTGGAAGGAATTCAGAGCGAGTGACAATGAGATCAGAGGGCTGGAGGAAATGATTTATGAGTTAAGAATACTATCAAATTAATGTCAACCTGCACTTTTCACCAAGCCCTCCCCTCTCCCCCAGAAAGTCCAAAAAAAGAGGAATGACTGGAGAAGTGATGAGTTAAGATTGTATCTAGATTTTATAATTTAACAGTTAAGCATCATGCATGTTTTGTAACAACTGTTTATTTTATGTATTAATTTCCCTCACTCCACTATGCAGAAATCAACATGAGCGTCCGTCTGCTCTACAACTGCTGCGGCATCCCTTCATGAAGGGAAGACAATGAACTTTTCAAAACTTCTGCCAAACTAATGTATATTTTCGACTCATATCTATTTCTACCACTATAAGGTTAATTTGCATTTGATTTGAAAATGGGAGTGTAGTAACTTACTAAAACTCAATCAGCCAAACATTGGAAAGCACCTATGAGACTGCAATATAATTATACTAGTTTGATTTGTGATATGAAATGCTTATTAGGGCAGGGGAATGCAGTTGCCATTTATCCAGTAAAGAAAGTAATTTTTTTTTTCTTGCAAAGATTAAGTTTTTAAGAGTTTGCATTTTGAAGAAAAGCAAAAGCCATGCAGTTTTGTTTTCAAATTGAAAAGGCTTAAAAAAAAAAAGCTATTTTATAGTACTTAAAAAAAAGTTGATGAACTTGGGAATCCCATTTTTTCTGTAAATACATAAGTGGTAAAATATCTAATATTAGCAGAAAGCATCCAAGACAGTCCTGAACGCTATTCAGCTGGTCTGGAGCTGTACCTTCCCGAACATAATTTGCCAGTTGATTAATTAAATATGGTTGTGGAAATCACTTGGAGAATCAGAACTTACTTTATATACAGGTCAGCATAGAACATGGTTACAAGTACAAATTAAGTTTTCAGAAGAGAGATCCCTTTAATTTCTCTTGGATACAGAACAGCAAGTTCCAGCACACAGACATCATCTAGTAGTCTTACCTCTTACTTCTAGTGGTTTATCAAAAGTTAATTGGCAGGAGTTATCTGCTCTATATACATACTGGTCTGTAAAGCTTCTGTAATTAACATTTCCTGTTTTCTCTGGGAATATGAATGCTATGATAATTTGCGAAGTTTCTTCCTCCTTTCGCTTGGGACTGGTATTAAATTCACTTTGCCATAGTGAAGTTGTCACTTGTCTATATCGCCACTGAATCTGTGCATTTGATGGGTAAAATTTGAAAGGGGGCCATTTAAAATGTCACGAACTACAGTATTAAAGAGAAATCCCTGAATGCTGTAAAGGAAGACCGTCCTTTTCCAGGGTTGATGCACGCTCTTTGGACAGATGCATTGTACTTCACTGATACTGAGCAGTAAAAACCACAGGCCAAATGGCTATGAAGTGCTTGACTGTTGCTTAAAGAGCTACAAAATGCCATTTAAATAATAATCTACGGTATTCAATATCTTGGTTATGATTTAATGGAAGAAATTTGATTTGACACTTTGAAATTTGGATATTCAATATAGAGCATGGATTGGTAGCTTGAAAAGCAAGGCTACAGCATTTCTGATTGTATAAGATGTGATATTGTGGGGACAAGGCAAAAGAGTAAAGCAGGAATCAAATACACACAGGAACAAATAACTGCTTAGAGGTGATGCTTGAGTCAAACTATTCTGAGCTGAGAGGTAAAATTTCTCTCTTGTACAAATTGAAGTTTATAGAAACCCAACCAATGCAATTCTCTCACTTCTCTATTTTATATATTTTATTCTTTGGTGAGTGTATTTCTAAACATAACATTGAAAATTTAAAGTCACTTAATCACTTTTGAGACTGTTACCTTAAGTGACTTAGGAGCCAAAGTGTCAGTTTCAAAAGGGACTTAAACACACAGGAGCCAAAATCCCATTGACTTTTGATAAATCCTAGGAGAGTTTTAGGCTCCTAAATGCACAAGTCCGTTTTGAAAATAGGGTTTAGGAGGATGTCCTTTAAGCAATTTTGAAAATTTTACTTTTAGTAAACTAGGTGCCTGTCCTCACCATCTCCAGGAGCAGTGTGCACTATTGCCAATCACCAACATTTAAAAATCATGAGCTAGGCCCCCAACAATCATGAGTCGCAATCATTAAGTTAATAAATTTTGCCTTCTGGTTTCTAAGCCTTTATCATTCACTCTGATCATAGTGTCAGTTTTCTCTCTGCTTTAAGTGAAAACTGAGATTCTCATGTAATCACTTGACTCCTAGAACTGAGGCACTAAACACCAAGTATCTCAAGAGCTGGCAAAATTGACAGTGCAGGACAATTCAGAAGTAACTGACTATAGATTAGTTCCACCATTCAAGCGAAGTAAAATGCAAACTGTAAATTAATGATCTGTAAAAGGAAGAGTAATTTAGATTTAGAAAGCACTTTCCTCAACTTTTTACTTTAGGAGCAGGAGCATGCTTCACAACATGGCAGGGAAGTCGAAAAGCAAAACAGGATTTAGAAGCCTGTGGCAAAACTTTGCAGGATCATGACATTGTTACTTCATCAATCCTGCAGTTCCCTGTTAGTGTTCCATAGTTGCAGAAGTTATGCAAGTTTTCAGTTTTAATAATCGGAAGTATTGAAAATGTAAAGATTTTTCTCTCTTTTTAAAGTGTCACACAACTACTGCCAATGAAATTAAAGTAGTTTTTGGTGATATACATTAGGTACCGTTTTGCTAGCATACGTAAACTGAAAGTTCTCACATGAACCAATATGGGCGGGAAGGTCTTGCACGATCCTATATACATCTCTGTAGGAATTCCGTATAAATAAAATCTGGTGGAAGGCAGGAATTAGGGGTCACAGTGACTAACTGGCTTTCTGTCTCCCTTCCTCCTCCTCCCAGCCCAGGCATGAGATTCCAAATTGTGTAAGCACAGAAAATGCTAGAACCATTCTGCTGCTCAGTGAGAAAACTGTGATGACTGCTGCATTGTATTTAAGCATATAAAGTGCATGCAGAATCAACAGCTATCCACATCAGTTGTCTTTTCTAATTGTAACACAGGCTAAACCCATCTAATAGTTCAGTTACCACAAATTGCACCATAATCACCCTTGCTTTTTTGAATTTATTGCAGAATTGTTTCATAATATACATTTTAATTTTTTAAACATCTTTAGTCCTCATTGTATGATGAACATTTGAACTATTAACTATAACCAGATGGAGTGGAATTTGCCAGTTTGTAGAAAACTTAGTGAACTGCCCCTATTTAGCTCAGTGAGGTGTTACCACTGACATGTGATGGTGCTTTTGATATCAGCACTGTAAATTATTTCACTGTGGGTTGCTTAGGCAGTAACATACTTATTTGCATTGTTGATGGCATAGAGCAGTGATTTTCAACTAGGGTGACCAGATAGCAGTTGTGAAAAATCGGGATGGGGGTGGGGGATAATAGGTGTCATAAGAAAAAGCCCCAAATATTGGGACATCTGGTCACCCTATTTTTAACCCATCAGCACACTGCTGATCACTGCACACATAGTCAGGGGCAGACAGGTGGTATATATATTGTGTGGATGCAGCCCATACAACACAAATTGTTGCATATGCGGCCCACAACGGTAAGTAGATTGAGAATCATTGGTAGAGTGGATACTGGGTGGATAGTGGAACAGCTAGCTGCTAGCAAAATTTGATAAGGAAATATATTGGGGAAGGGATGTATTTAATAAAGCAGAACTGCTTCCTGGTGATAAGAACCCTAAATGCCTTGGTTAATACAGAAGTCTGCAACACAATGAAAACTTAGGGGCAGGATAAAAAACTGAATTCAACAGCAAAAAGCCAACAAGATATAGTGGAGACAGTGACTTGGAGAGAGTTTGGAGGAGCAGAGCCACCACATGATTCTAGGTTTATAAACATAATTCAGACCTAAACTGTCCTATAGAACACTGGGAATTGAGCAGAATAGCTCAGAATGGATGAAACTATCAGACTGAGGTGGAAGCTATATTTTAGTTTAGAACAAAAATCTTTAGCCCACATTAGGAAACCAAAGTTTCAGCTATATTATTGGCCACAATGTTGAGTACAATACAAAATTTATAGAACATTTACTATCAGAATTTCTCCTTGAAAAGGGAATTAAAGTGATTTATGTCCATAATTTTACGTACTGAAAAAAATTATACTATATCTAGTGATGCTTCTTCTCAGGGTTTTTATATATTTAAAATTCCACAGAACTGAGCCAAATTATATACACCATCTGTCAAAAGAAAGCAGTTTAGCAGATTCTCTCTCACTTTACTGGGCTGTCTCAGAGGACAAAGTAATGAACATTTCCCCTACAACTGTGCTGACACTTAGATATTATTTCAGTGCCATCAGTAATCTGAAAGGGATATTTTGCAAAATGGAAGTAGCTGGCAAAATTGAAGTTTGTTCAAGCTTCTAACAGGTTACAAAAATAATAAAAAAAAATCATGTAAATCCAACTTTTTCTTTAGAACTATATTTTAAAGTGTTTGACTTAACTGAATCTACCCAATTTCCCCTCACTTTAAAGTCTCCCAGTAAAATCATTTTAGATTCTTGTCACATAAAATCTGCTAAACAATTGTTCCTTCTACCACTTTTATTAATATTTTCCATTACGTATCACGTAAGAGTGGAAGAACATTATGCCAGCGTAATAATCCTAACTTCACACTCATTTCCCAAAGTCCAAATAATTCAGTCCCATTTTACAGAACATAGATTGATCCTTATGCAAAGTCCTTGAAAACTAGAGCATCTTCATTACATTATCTTACAATTATCTGTCCTATGACCTAAAGTGAGGTATACATAGTTCCAAGATATATAATAATTGCCTCTTCAGGTTAGGGCAGGCTTCAAAGTAAAGATGAACTTTAATTTAGCATGAAATAATAGCTAGATACCACTTATACTAAATAATAATGGACAGAGGTGCTCTAGACCAAGCAGGATGTATTAGAGTAGAAATTTTATGTTTTTCAACAAAACCCTCACATTCCCCCTGGAAGGTCTTGCAATAAAAGCTGCTGCACTGAGTAACTTGTTAAAAATAAGTGGATTAGAGTATTCTAGTAACCCCTAGATGTTTTAATATTTAGAAAAACTAAGCATTGTAAGAATAGCCTCAAACAGGGAGAGCATTAAACATACTGATATAAACCTGTTAAAATCCCTGATGCTTTGGTGACATCTGAAATTGTTTTAGCATCTGTTATTCAAAGAAAATTTCAAAGCTTTAGAATCTTTGTTGCTTAAATGTTAGTTTGTTGCTATTTCCTAGTGAGTATATAAGATTTTAAAGTCAAATTTCACCCACTGAGTTAGATACTACAGCACACGGACAAAGGGAAGCACTGGAAATTCAGAGGCCTTGTCTACACACTACACCTGTAGCTTATGGGAAAGGAAATAAGATATACTAGTATAAGGCAACTTTACACCAACTGCAGCCACATTATGCTTTGTACCAGTATAATTATACTGCTGGGAAAAAAAAAATCTACCCTTATCTGGCAGTTACACTGGTACAAAAGTGGTGTATATACCAAGGCAAAGGGTCAGGGGAGAAGAAGAAGTAGTAAGCCCAAAATAAAGCATACAAGTTATCCAACGACACCTGGATATGATGCAGCAGACATTCTTGAAGTGGTTGTAGTATAGCTACATGATTCACTTAAAAAAACAAAAACCCAAAACTTTTAAATCAAGTTTCTTGGACTTTTTAATTCAAAACCCACCAGTCCCTCCATTATGTGTCTCACAACTGAGTTAATTTTTCATTTAGGCTATAACAACTTTTTAAAGTTTGAGCTATCTTGAGTAAAAGCAACATTATATCTTGTCATTCCAAACTCATTAGAATAATTGATAGAGGGAATCAGTGTAGTTTATTCTATTTTACAAAGATCCCATTGGAGCAACTGGGATGCCACATCCATATAAAAAGTAATTAAAATGACTCAGTGATCAGACAATTCTTTAAGAAGGTGAGAGAAAGTAAGCCAGAAGATCAATGGGAAATTGGAAACAAAATGATCAAATATAAACTGCCCCCAACAGGGAAGGCTTCTGAGCAGCCCTCAAGATAATCAGAGTGACCCCATAGGACATCTTTAGTAAGGGACTTTTATGAGCAAGAAGAACCGACCAGCTACAATTGTAGGGATATGGGGAAAGTAAGTAGTCCAAAGCCATCTTGTATTTATAACATTCAGTGTCTGGGAACCAATTACAGCTGACTGATTTAGTCAGCTTCAGTACTCGTAGCAGACTTGAGAGGAGCAAGGGAATAACAGCTTTCTCCCTGTAGAACTGATTGGAATGCCAGCATCCTTGTAATTCTGCTTTGTTGGAGTATAATTTTAAAACCAAGAATTAGTATATTTCAAATTACAGATAAAATTGCTATAATACTCCTAAGACAGTCCCACAAGGCCTTGAAGGTACTTAATTAAACTTTACACACTTATTACATGAACATTAATACACATTTTGATATGGAAAAAATCAAAGTTCCCACTTAGTTCATATCAAATGAAAAGTAGGTACTGCACATATTTTTTAAATATGCATCTAAGTTATAAAACTTGCTTTTCTGAAGTTCTCCAACTATGTATTTCTGCTGAGTTAGAAATTACTGTAAAAAAAGTTAGAAGTTAAACTACATTACTTTTCAAAATTCAAAAGTGCTTTCTGTTTACATTTGAAAAACCATGAATGTTTTGTCATCAAATCCAAGGGGATTTTTCATAATTAATATATACAAGCAAAACTGGCAAGGTAACTATAGGAAATGGGACTGTATTTCTGCCCAGTAGTGAGAGTCTGGTAAGGTAAGGAACTTGATTAATAAATAGCTTTTACACAAGTCCATGAAAAAGACAAGTGAAGTTTTAATCTCATAAAAGGGCTGTTTTAAAATTGCAACTGGCTATTTTAACATGAAACATTTATCTACAATGAGCAGAAAAGCTATACAGCACTTCAATTTTAACCAAATACCAAAAGTACTAGACCACAGCAAGATACAGTACATTGTCTAGAGTACTTTAATGCAGTACTTCCACCATTAGCAATGAGACTAAAGATTCAACGTACAGTAGAATCTCAATAATCCACACACTTAACATATCACAAAAATGATGAGATTTAATAGCTGAGCACTGTAGTGAGGTTTCAGAATTAAGACTTCATTTTTACAAAATACATAGTGTATTTTCTATTAAATTCACTCAAAACAGTAACAAAACTATAATCAAAGTGAACAAAGTACATTGTGGCGTATTAGCTTTTTTATTGCATTTATTCATTCACTTATGGGACCAATGCTGATCCCGTAAACAGTTGGAACATGCTGTAATTCAAAGTTCAGTAATTTGCAATGGGTTTCAGTCAGTGTGAATTAGTGATATCTTGCTGTTCCCCACCCCCCATATCCACCATGTCAACTCTAATCTCAGAGAGCAAGACTTCAGTACAGATTTACATATTTACACAATTATAATGCAAACTAAAAATAATCTTATTTGTTGATATTCTTTACAAAGAAATTGAAATAATGGTTTCTCATTAACCTAGAATAGCAACCCTTTGTCAATGTAATTTCACAACCCCCTGGAATCAACGTGAATGACTTGTGTAAGTCATCACCTCAAATGAAGATCTCTGGCCTTTTTCCATTTGCTTTTAACCATCACCAGTTACCTGCCTGGCATTTCTTCTCCAAGTTATAACATTAGATGCTATATTTATAGTACAATATATTACGGTATCCACATTGTATGCATAAGATGCATTTCATGGTACAGCTATTTAACAGGCTTACAAGCAAATATTGTGATACTTTGTAAAGAGTATTTTAACACAATTTACTATTATTTTATCTTCTATCTCTGCATATTAGTTTAGCACAGTTTACATTGCTTACATTTGTCAACAATTCTTCAGACTTAGTGCTGAGGTGGAGAGGAGAGACTATTCAAAGGGTTAGAACATATCCAACAATGTGAAACAAGTGTAATAATGTTGAAGTATATTTTTTTGAATGTAGAAAAATTCAAAGCAGTTAAGGGTAAAGTTTTGTATCCTGTATATCCATGGGCAAAGGCTAAATGTGGACCTAGACACATTATTCTGTTTTTCAATTTAAAATGTTTAGATGTACAAAGTAGTATCCATTGTTCAAATAAAACTTAGTTACAAGCTTTTGCATTACTGGAAACTGAGTATTACATAGTAATTGATATACCTGTAGTTACATAATATAGCAACTACAAACTGGTAGGTACTGAACAATTTTGTAGTTTAAAGCACTTCATTTAATAATGGAACTAAAGGGCTAAGCTTCAGATTAAAATTCTGAAGTGTTTACAACCAGTTACACTGAGTACTAACTGCATGTGCAGGGGATTTAGCAAAACTTCACTTCTTATATATTTAAAAAAAAATCAAAACAGTCACTAGGAACCAGCTTTTGCTACCTTATACTGAATATATGTTGAATTCATTCACAGCTTATTAATGATTTTAAGCGCAGCCATAAAATTAGTTAATTGTCAGCTGGTAAAACGGAACTGTAGTATTGGCTTTCAACAAAAATGATGTATAAACACTCAAGTCTCTCATTTCTTCTAAAAAGGCAGAAGACTGTGCAAACAGTACACAAGCCATATTATGACACTTGCAGACAGATAAAGTGTATACTAGTGGTTTCATTGGAGAGTGATTTTTCACAGAGCTAAAAACAAAACAAGTAACCTCCAATTTTGTAACTAATCACAAGTACAATGCACAGAGAATCAGTGGTAACTATTTTATTGTTGGAATATAAAGGAAAGTTGGGATATCATAGTTTTACTCTTATTTATTGTGAAGACTGCATTCTCACCTGTAAAAGAAATATGGCATCACACACAAATACACTTTTTGGAATTCAGAACATGGCTCTTATTCTGAAATGGTAATGGAAACAGTGATCCCTGTTTACTATTAAAATAACTTATGGTATTAAAGTTTAAAAAACAACTTACTAATTTTTCACTATAAGTTTTTATGAATTTCAGTTCTTAACTCACATTAATCTACGTAATCATTAAGTAACAGCTCTGCCTATATTACTGCATCAAGCCAATAAACATTTAAATGCACTTCACATCAAAAGATTATGTAAACTTTATTCTTTTTTCCTTCAGAAAGCTTGGGGCGCATTTCAGCAGTCAATCTGGTCACAATCAGCAAACTGAGGCCCAAACTCCTTTATTGCCTCATTGGTGATGCTCTCCCGTGGATGACCATACATGGTACTAGATTACCCACTCTAGTGAAGTGCCCTTTTAAGCAGCTTCCAATAAGGCCTACAGTTCAAGATAAACATGACAAAGCGTCACCTTTGTTTAGATTACTGATGGACTCTGACACAAGATAAAATAAAGTTATGTATATTTTGTTATACTTACAAGCAGCTCCAATCCTGAGTATTTATGGTATATCTAAACATACAAAAATGTATGTACATTTTTCTCCACTTTCTTGTAAACAGTTGTCAGTATACTGTTTTTAATCCCTTTATCTTTGAAACATGCAAATCATACATACAGTATAAATACACAAGGAAACAATTACACTCATTCAAAAGCTAAGCAACAAAAATGGTGGCTGCAGTATTCAAAATTATAAATAATCAATGCTTGAGGCATTCTAGACACCTAAAAGCAGATGATCATTCTACTGTTCTTAGCTGCAGTTGTAGAAATACTGAGATTTTTGCACCTTCCATGCTATTACAGTATTTATAACACTATTGTATGTGGAGATAAAGACTTGTTTACTATACCTCTTCTTTTCAGAGTGACGGATAAAAGCAGCACTTACATATACTGAAACCATGGCAACAACAGCTGGTGTTGCTACTGCTAGAGAAGTTTTCCATTCTAACAATTCTTAAATTAAAAAAGTAAAGAAAAGTGACCTAAACAATTGATTACATGTTCATTCCTTGGGCACTTAACAGCGAATCCAGCATGTCGAATGTATCTTTGTAGTCCATATGCTGGCTGTTTGTACTGTACTCGTGATTGGCATCAGGACCGTTCTCCACTGGCTTCTTGTCCAGTTTCACGAGGGTGCTGAGATGTCCGTAGCCCACCTGGTATGTGACAGGGGGAGGAGGGGGTAAGGGAAGGTTAAAAACAGAGTTGTGAGAGGATACATACTGCTTAACAGAGGAGGAAGAACTAGATGAACTACCTGAACTTTTGGAACTTTTGCTCAATTTGGAGTGGTGGTTGTGAGAAGCATCATTGCTGTGCAACTTCTTCCTTGAAGAGCCGGAACTAGAGGAATTACCATCACTACTCAGGCCAACAGGACTCCTCAAAACAGTTGGTGTTATTCCATCAGTGCTATGTTTACTGCCGCCACTACTACTGCCACCACTATGTGAATGCTTGTGACTGCTACTGTGATGGCGATTTGAAGAATGTTCTTTGTGCTTTTCTTTATTATCTTTGCTAACATGTGGACTTGAGTGTTTGCTTTTTCCACTGCCCTCATCCGATGAGCTGTGTCTTTCTGAAGAAACTTTAATTTTCATTTTCAGATCTTCTTTACTGGAACTCTTTTCTGTAGGTGGGATTGGTATTCGCAGTTTGAGTGATCCACTCTTTTCTTTTTTATCAGACAAATGTTTTTCTGGTTTCTCTGCATTTGCAACAGGAATTTTCATTTTAATAGGGGAAGTAACAGAACTGCTACTGGCTGCTTGTGGTTGGATGTGCTTTTTATGTTGCTGTTCTACTTGGGTAGTTACATAATGTTCCCTTACATCCAGTTCAAGGGTTTCTAGTTTGCGTTTTTCTCTGTATTTATCCAAGGACATTTTCTGAGGAATTATAGGAGCAGCAACCTGTCCATGGTGTTTGTTTCCTGACTTGTGAGCATAGTCTTGTTTACCAGTGGAATGCTCAGTAAGTTTGTCAGATCTGTGATGTAACCCAGAATGCAATTGTACAGAAGTTCCTGACTGGAAGTTCAGATTATATTGACTACCAGTTAACGTAGTTTCCTGTTTCTGAGAATATATTTGTTCGGTCCTTGTTTGTTCTTGATGTTGAGGCCATTCCTGGTGTGATGCCAAACTATATGAGGTACTTGGCATTCCTGTAGCTAATATTGCCAAGTTTTCAGGTGCATGACTGTGTTGAACAGACATACTCCCTGAGTTCAGAGGTACTGGTGGAGGAAAGGTCGTTGTGGATGATTTTTGGAAGCTTGTGTTGGCAGATACACCAGTAACAGTATCCACCAAAATGGAATTCTGGACCAAAGATGAACCAAGAAGAGAATTCTCAGATACCTGTCCATCTCCTTTCGGTTTCTTAGCAGCCTGATTAGCCTATATGAAAAGGAAAAAGAGTAAGGACAAACTTAGAAAGACCTAAAAATAAACAGTTACCTAACATATTTCAAAACTGGGTAAAATAAGGTGGATTTCATGGTTTCTCTCTCTCTTTTTTTTTTAATTTAAGCTACCATAATAGGGAACTACAGAGGGACATACAATTATGAACATACTGCCAGGGAAAAGTTCAGGAAGTTGACAATATTACTTTTAGGTTTGTGGCAGTTATGTCCCATGGCAAATTACTCAGGCAACAAGTTCTTACCCTCCAATTACGAATCCTCTTCAGTCTGCTAGGCGTTTTCTCTAATATTTGCAGAAACTCGTGTGTGAGCTCTGGTGAAAAAAAACCAAAAGCCTCTTTTCACACTTGAATCAGTAACAGAATCTATGGTTTTGTCTATTCAGTCAGATAGTAGAGGCAAGCCATGGTGTACATTTACAGAACCCCAGCTTGCCACACAGTAACTGGCTGTGTGAACCCTGCTACCGCTGTACATCAAAATACACTAGAGAACTTACCCTCTTGCATCTTTTCAGTAATAGCGCACAACCTTAAATCTTAAACCTTAAAACCTTAGTTTAGTTTAAAATTTAGTTTGAAGGGGCTGAGCATTTTATAAGCCAAGCAGTTTAAAATCTAAAAGCTTACCCAGATCTAAACCTTATCTTAACAAGCTTGGTCAGAAAAGCTGCACTAGTGACTCATAGCCACTGTGGAAGCAGAGTAAATCATTCATTAGTGATACCCCAAGGGCTATAACTATCCCACTTTGCAGGGTCCTAGAGTCTGGACTCCAACGCGAGCCGGAAGTCTACACTGTAATTAAAAAGCCCCGCAGCAGGTGTCTAACTGCAGTGTAGACATACCCTTAGAGGCCAGGACAGAAGTAATCAATAATAGGTATGAAGGGGTGTAGTCTAGTATGTGCGGGGAGGAAGTTACTTTGAGAGGCCTCCTGGGAGAGCCCCCTCTTGAACAGAGAGCTGGTGACAGAGAGTAAGCACAGGAACTGAGTGAACCGCCAAGGCCAGGGGAGTTTGGCTGTAGAGAAAGTTTGGCAGGGAAGGAGTCCAAGAGATTTAACAAATAGAAAGTCACCAAGTTCAAGAAAACTCACAAAATAAAGAAAACCCAATACACCTAACAAACATATCCTAAACTTCGGCAACACTAAGCCACGCCAAGAGTAAAAATGCAGGCAGAAAACCAGCAGAAGGGTGGCAGCTACCCATATTATCACACTAAGTGCAACATGTATTACCACCTGCCTCATGGACAGGTGGTATACATGTGCATGCAATGCAAGCTACTCATGGCCCTGAGATAGAGTATGTGCACTTGAGGCCAGAGTGGCTGAACTGGATGAGCAAAGAGAGAGACAGAGCTATACAGAGGAAACTTTCAGGGACATGGTGGAGTAGTCCTACCTCCTGTCCAACAGCCCCAGTGCTGTTAAGGAGGATGAAAGTCTCAGGGCATGAGACCATCACACTAGAGCAGAGGGAAATGATCTCATAGTTGGGACCCACCTTTCAGATGATGGCATGATATCCTCTCGCATTGAGGATATCCCTCCGATGGCAGGGAGCCAAGTTACTAGGAAGAGATAGGCAATAGTAATGGGGGACTTGATTATTAGAAATGTAGATAGTTGGGTTTGTGATGATTCAGAGAACTGCATGGTGAATTTCCTTCTGAGTGCAAAGGTAGCAGATCTCACGAAACACCATTCTAGATAGTCTCAGAGGTAGTGCTGGGGAGGAGCCGGTGGTACATGTAAGTATCAAAATGACATAGGAAAAGGTTGGAGAGAGGTCTTGGAGGCCAAGTTTAGTCAGCTAGGTAAGAGATTGAAGTCCAGGACCTCCATGGTAGCATTCACTGAAATGCTTCCAGTTCCAATCACAGGGCAGTAAGGCAAGCAGAACTGCAAGGTCTCAGTGCATAGATGAGACAATGGTACAGGGAAGCGGGATTTACATTTATTAGGAGCTGGGGAACTTTTGGGGAAGGATTGGCCTATAAAGAAAGGATGGGCTCCACATTAACAAAAATGGAACCAGACTAGTGGCATGTAAAATTGAAAAAGTTGTAATGGATTGTTTAAACTGGGGAAAACCTGATAGGGGTGGAGGAGTACATAGTTCAGGTGCAGACATCTCTTCGGGGGAACTTTATTTTAGTATAGAGGACAGGAAAGAAGTTGGTAAAATACAGGTAAGATGTAGTGAGGAACAGGCAAATGTAGGAGTCCCATTTAAATATAACACACGAAGGCAAGCAACTGAATATTGACAAAATGTACAAGTGCTCATATACAAATGCTAGAAGTCTAAATACTAAAATGGGTGAACTACAGTGTCTGGGATTAAAGGAGGATATTGATAAAATAGGCATCATAGAAACTTGGTAGGAAGAGAATAATCAATAGGACACATTAATACCAGGGTATAAGATATATAGGAATAACAGAGTAGGTCACGTTGCTGGGGGACTGGCATTATACGTTAAACAAATCAGAGTCAAATAAGCTAAAAATCTTAAACAAAACTGTACCACAGAATCACTCTATGGATAGAAATTGAATGCCTAGGGGGGGAAAAAAAAAAGTAGTACAGAAGTAGGAATATACACTGACCACCTAACCAGGATGGTAACAGTGAATGTGAAATGCTATGGGAGGTTTAGAGAGGCTACAAAACCAGAAAGTACAATAATAATGGGTGAATTCAACTATCCCTATACTGACTGGGTAAGTGTCACCTCATGGCATGATGCAGAAATAAAATTTCTAGACACCATAAAAGACTGCTTCTTGGAGCAGTTAGTTCTGAAAACCACTAGGAGAGAGGCAATTCTTGATTTAGTCCAAAGTGAAGGACGGGTACTGGTCCAAGAGATAACTAGAGCTCAACCACTTGGTAATAGGGACCAAAATGTACACCTCTACCCTGATATGACGCAACCCAATATACCACGAATTTGGATATAATGCAGTAAAGCAGTGCTCGGGGGGGGGGGGGGTGTGTGTGTGAGGAGAGAACTGCATACTCCGGTGGACCAAAGCAAGTTCGATATAAGATGGTTTCACCTATAACACGGTAAGATTTTTTGGCTCCCAAGGACAGCATTATATTGGGGTACAGGTGTAATTAAATGCAACAGGGAGGGGAGGAGAAATAATACTAAAAAGCCCACCTCGGTAAAATGTAACTTTAAAAAGGGAACTACATAAAAATGAGGAAGCTCGTTAGATGAAAATTAAAAGGAATCGTCAAAAGGGCTAAATACCTGCAAGCAGCATGTGAGCTATTTAAAAACCACCATAATGGAAGCTCAGATGAGATGTATATACCAAATCAGGAAAGACATTAAAAGGTCCAAAAGAATGCCACCACAGCTCAAGAGCAGAGTACTGGGGGCCAATATAAGCAAAAAGGCATCCTTTAAAATTTGGATGACAAGTCCTAATAAAGATAATAGGAAGGAGCACAAACTCTGGCAGGTTAAGTATAAGAAGACAGGCCCAGAAAGAATTTGAGAAGCAATTTACTAAAAATGCAAGAAATTCTTTTTAAGAACATCAGAAACAGGAAGCCTGCCAAACAGGCAAAGGGGCGACTAGACAACAAAGGCGTTAAAGGAGCACTCAAGGAAGACAAGGCCATTGTAGAAAAACAAAATTAATTCTTTGCAATAGTCTTCACTGAAAAGGATGGGGGGGGGGGGGGGGTAAGGGGGGTGAGAGAAGATACCCACATCAAAGTTATTCTTCTTGGGTGACAAGTACAGTCCCACATTGATGTGTCAATAGAAGAGGTTTTAGAACAAATTGATAATTATACTGTAATAAAATCACCAGGACCAGAAGGTATTCACTCAAGAGTTCTGAAAGAACTCATATATGAAACTGCAGAACTACTAACTGTGGTTTGTAACCTATTGCTGAAATCAGCCTTTACACCAGATGACTGGAAGATAGCTAACGTAACACTGATTTTTAATAGGGCCCTAGAGGCGTTCTTGGCAATTACAGGCTGGTGAACCTAATTTCAGTACAAGATAAATTGGTAGAAACAATAGTAAAGAACAGAATTATCAGACACATATAAACATAGTATGCTGGAGAAAAGTCAACGTGGCTTTTGTAAAGGGAAATCATGCCCCACCAATATATTAGAATTCTTTGACCGTATCAAGAAGCGTGTTGAGAAGTGTGATCTAGCTAGTGTACTTGGTTTTTCAGAAAGCCCCTGGCAAGGGGTCTCTTTCAGGAAGCCCCTGGCAAGGGATCTCATCAAAGGCTCTTAAAGAAACTAAGCAGTCATAGAATAAGAGGGAAGATCCTCTCATGGATCAGTAACTGGCTAAAAGATAGGAAATGAAGGGTAGGAATAAATGGTAAGTTTTCACACTGGAGAGAGGTAAACAGTAGGGTCCTCCAAGAATCTGCACTGGGACCTGTGTCATTCAACATAGTTATTAATGAAATGGGAATGAACAATGAAGTGGAAAAGTTTGCAGATGATAATTATCTTCAATAATTTTGTAAGTCCAAAGCTGTAATTTTGTAAGTCCAAAGTCCAATACGAAGAGTTATAGGGGAATCTCACAAAACTGGTGACGGGGGAACAAAATGGCAAATGAAATTCAATGTTGATAAGCACAAAGTAATGCATATTAGAAAAAAATAATCCCAACTATACATATATAATGATGGGTTCTAAATTAGCTGATACCTCTCAAGAAAAATTTGGTGTCATTGTGGATAGTTTCTGAAAACTTCAGCTCAATGCGCAGCAGTGGACAAAAAGGCTAACAATGTTAGGAGCTGTTAGGAAAGGGATACAAAATAAGACTACTTGCATCTGAAGAAGTGAGGTTCTTACCCACGAAAGCTTATGCTCCCAATACTTGTTAGTCTCAAAGGTGCCACAGGACCCTCTGTTGCTTTTTACAGATTCAGACTAACACGGCTACCCCTCTGATATAAAGTAAGACTAGAAAATTTTACCCTGCCACTACATAAATCCATGGTGCTCCCATACCTGGAATACTGTGTTCAGTTCTGGTCACCCCATCTCAGAAAGGATTAGTAGAACTGGACTAGGTTCTAAGAAGTGCAACACGGAGGATCAAGGGGATAGAACAGCTTCCATATGAGCGGACTAAAAAGATTAGGGTTGTTCAGCTTAGAAAAGAGATGACAAAGGGGGGGGGGAATATGATAGAGGTCTATTAGATCATAAATGGTGTGGAAAAAGTGTAGTGAGAAGTTTTTACCCTTTCCCACAATAGACAAACCAAGGGTCACTCAAAGAAATTAACAGGCAGCAGCTTTAATACAAACAAGATGAAGTAATTTTTCTCACAACACACAATTAACTTGTGGAACTCATTGACTTGGGATGTTGTATAACTGGTTTCAAAAAAGAACTAAATAAGTTCATGCAGGATACATCTATCAATGGCTATTAGGAATGCAACCCCATGCTCAGGATGCCCCATAACCTCAAACTACTAGAAAATGGGAATAGAAGATGGGGTCGATCACTCAAAAATTGCCCTGTTCTGTACACTCTCCCTGATGTTATGGTACTGGTCACTGTCAGAAACAGGATTCTGGGTTAGGTGGACCATCAGTATGATCCAGTGTAGCAGCTCTTATGTTCTTTATCTTTGCAGTACTAGGAGCTGAACAAAATTGACTTACGTATTTACATATTTTAATCAGAAAATTTGTTTGAAGTATGCTGTACGCAGTTTTGAGGGTCTTAAAGAAGCAGCATAATTGGGAAAGACTTTTACTGTTTCTAACTTCTTGGTATCCAGATCTAAAGTGGCGCACATATTACAAAAAACAGCTTGGGATGTTTGGGAATTGTTGTCTGAACAAATCAAAAGTTCTCCAAGAGGTCTGTTCATAAATATAATTCCAAAAAGGCCTGCACAAAAAGCAGCCCTTTAGAACACTGGGAATCTGTCACTCTGAAGGCAGATATTTTAAAAAATTCAGTGAGTTTCCAGCATGAAACTTGTATCAGGGCGTTGTAAAAGTCAATTCATACTATCTGATCTCTGGGTTCAGCTTCTTCAGGGACAACTGAATGAAGGTCTTTAACATAACACAAAACATTTGACCCTTTGAAAATCTGCAGATCACTTGAGCTTCTTGATCAATTCCTCCAGTGTTGCTTCTGCAAAATTTTGTGCCATGTTAGAAAGTGGGAAAGGTCTTTTCAATTAAGGTATCCATGAAGCAACTAAGGCCTCTGTATCCTTTGACGCTGCAAAGGGACTACTACTACCTACTAAAATTTAACATTTTTAAGTACCTGAAAATACATGTTGAGTCAAGAGGCAGCTTTAGATTTCAGAGTGGAATCCCAAAGAGCCAAGTCCTCAATAGGCCTTGCAAAATAAGTGCAAACTAATCTCCCCAGGAGCTTTATGCCGCTAAGCCCCGTGATCTGCTCAGCCTATTACACACACCTTTTATACACTCTTTTCCTACATTTGCTCTGATTGGCATGCTGCTGCTCCAGGGATATAACCAAGCTTGAGTGAGGAATGAGAGATGTCTTGGGCACATAGATCTGTGGTACAGCCTAGCAGATCTTTTCAGTCTAATTACTGATATACACCCAGAATAAAAAGCAAACAACCAAATACATTTACTAAATAAACAGTAAAATTATGCTGATAAAAATTAAAATATCTGTAGACTACAGAGAAAATTCCACTGAGATGAATAGAGGCAGACAACCTTGCGGTTTTATGATGCCTCACTGATTCTGTGGATAGTGCTGCATCCGTTCATATTCTCTTCACTTGATGGAATTGTTTTTTAAAAATGAAAAACTTGTGACAGAAATGGAAGAAACAGCAGGTCAAAAGAAGCCTTCATGGGTCATATCCAAGTCATGGGTTGTACGGCACAGCTCTACACCAGAGATTTTTGATTTTTCTTTACAAGACATCTCCCAACACCTCTGATTAGTATATAGATTTGCAAATGCTAGACAGCATTTATTACTGCACTGCAATAGTGCTTAGGGGTATCAATCACAGACCAGAGCCTCATTGTGCCAGACACAAATAAAGGGCTAGATTATAAACTCTTTGGGGCAGGGACTAAGTCTAAATCAAGTGACGACAGATGGAAACAAGACAGGAGCAGCATAAGGTAACAGACACAAAACTGGTCATCATGAACAGTAAAACAAACACACACACACTTTGGTAAATATCTAGACCATTTAATTTTCTGGTAGCAGAAAAAGTTTATTCTTCTTTCTGATAAAATCCATTAAATAGATATTCCATGGTACTAACATTAAGGTTCCATGGGCTATGGCAAATTCACTCCTATTGCACAAAATTGGCTTTAATATGGTTGATCCTATTTCAATCTTATAATCTTAAAGAAATTATCTTTAGTAGTGGTTAATAATGTGGGTGGAAATTAAACAAATTGCCATCTTAAGGCAGCAACTTGCAACCCCCAAAAGGTGAGGCTATCGTGGCTTTTAAGCCATCCTTGGATCCTCTTGGGCTCCAGAAGCCCCCAGCCTAATTTAGACAGCCCTGAGAGCACGTTTGAGTTATGGTAGCCTCCCCAGGCTGTCCTATGAGCAGTACTATTGCATGTGAAGGTCCTGCCCTTAGCATGGTCCACATGCCAAGTCTTGCTAGGGAGTCCTCAGAGGGGGCAGCCTTATGGCCATCTTCCAATTCCTGTGCCACGAGAATTCTCCCACAGCTGCTATGGGTCTCATATTGTCCCTTTACTCTGCTCTGGCCCTTTTTTCTGGCCTACATGGTCACAGCAGGGGTGAGGGTCTCATCTATAAAGTCAATGTTATTTAAGCATGAGCTCAATGGCTTCCCTTACCCAGGACCTAGAGTAGTTGGGGGTGAGTTAAATGTTAGCTGAAACAATAGCAGAACTACAAGAACAAGGTCACAACATTTAAAAGAAATCAAAAGGCAATACTACTTACCATCTAGCAATTCCAGAGTAACTGAAGGATCAACATATTCCCACCAATGCTTTCCATCCGTCGATACAGGAATCTCCCAATTGGACCACTTGCATGCCAAATGAATGCACACACATGCTATCACTGTGGGTTTGTACTGAAGACAGAAGGTAGTAAGGTGCAGGCTGTTCCAGAGAATTCAAACATGTAAAATAAAAAACCCAAACAAGTCAACCACTAAGATATAGCATAAGGTTTTGAATCAAACAGATATTAAACATTAAATCATGTAACATGCTTCTGATTAAATTCTGAAATTATTTTACAACCTTGAGAAAATGCAGGTCATTTATCTGGTAAATTTAATTTGCTCTTAACAAGAGTAAAAATAAAAATATAGTATCCTTCAGTTCATTCTATTGGCATTTTACTTTTTACTTATTTTTAAAGAGAGGGCCAAAAATTCAACATAACATGTTTGACAAAATTTCAGCCACAGTGAAATCATTAATACAGCTCATTACTGAGACTGCATATCAAACTACTAGCTGTGGATACCCAATAGTTTCCTAGAGGTTGAGAGAATCACTTGTGTGACATGAGTAGTCTTCATTAGGCCCAAGTTTGGGATAAAAATCTCCTCTCATTTCAATTTCCCAGCTGGCAGTAGCACAAGTATGCTGGTTTAGATTCAGTGATTCTAACAGCTTTTGTAAACAAAACTCTTCAAAACAAGAAACTATCCCATAATAAAGGGACCACCAAAAATGGTTAGGGTCCTCCCAAACGTTACATATACAAACTTGGATTTTAACAAAATCATGTACTAGGATTACATTAAATTCAAACTAATTTTGCAAAGAAGAACACATGGAAGACTTTTAGATCTACTCCCAAACTTCATCCTTCTGCACTAGAATAGCCGGATACATTTACTAGTCTGCATTTGGATAACCAATTTTAATTTCACATAAATACTAAGATTTTTAAAAACGCATGTTAAAAACAAACACTGCTTCTGGAAGGACAAACATTGCTTAGACTAATTCTAGTCTACCTGGAAAGAAGATTAGGTAATTTTAAGAGTTTTTAGGCTGACTGCAGTTTCATAAAATTAGGATTGGATCAATGTATTTAAATTAAGAAAAAATTGCCATTAACTACAAGTGTAAACTAGAAATAGCTTTGTACTTACCAAGATGCTCGACTTTCTAGGTTAAGTTTATCTCTTTGTAATCTTTAGCTGCTATTCAGGCTACCAGTTTTAGACTTATGCACTCACAAATCGAGAAAATGTCATCAGAAAGCACCACTACACTTCTCATTGTGCATTTAACCCCTTTGTGCCACAAGGCCCTTGTACAATACACCGCACTGCAAACAGAAAGGTACCACCACTGTAGATGGCCCAGTTTTCTGTTGCAACAAGGGTAGGACACATGGAGGGGGCCCTGCAGTAAAGGAAGCAATAGTGTGCTACAACAGTGCAACAAAGAGGTTCAGGATAACAACCTGTTGGTAGCCATGAAATAGGATGTCTGTGCCAAATCCTTGCTTGCTGTAACAAAAAGAAAATTGAAGAAAAATTAGCAATCTACACTAAGCGTTGGCTTCATTCCAAAATTAAAATGCTTTAACCTCAAAATGAATGATATGTAGAACACTAATTAGCTGCCTTTAAAAGTATCTTATGTAAATCTGAGGACAGGTTTACTCAGCCTCACTGAGCTACACTTGGAGATAGGCAAGTCATTCAGTTCATCAACCTTCCCTCTACTGTACAGAGTATGTTGATCCTTCTGCCTCTTGAACTGTCTTCATCTGAGCCACAAAAATGAGGGAAGTCTCCCTTTCATCTCCCTAGCCCTCCCAAATTTAAGAGTGTGGGTGGAGGGGAGGCTCTCTTACCTTCCACCCCAATTCTAGTGCTTGCCTGCCTGCCTCCCTACTTTAGTTCTAGATGGTTCCTTACCACAACCCTCCCCACAGCTAGGTCTCTCTCAGCGGGACAGTCCAATAGAGAGCCAGCTGCACTATAGCTCAGGACAGAGACTAGTGCTCTTCTCCAGCCCAAGGAACACAGAGCAGTTGAGAAAACTCAATGACCATACATCAGTAACCCATAATTATCCCAGAAAGTCCTAGAACAGAGCTAGTTCCCAAACTAGACAGTTTAAGAATTAAATTAGCTCGTGTGCACTTATACACCTTCTTTAATCAAAATGTAATGCTCATAAGCATGGAACAAAACATTTGATTATATCAGAAGCTTTAATGTAGATTTTAACAAATTTATAACTCATTAAAAAAGGTCATCAAGTTAAAGTCTTCAACATCCCAAAGACTGATTATGATGTCCCTGGGGCCTAACAGCCACCAAGTTTCTGGCCCTTATCTGCCAAACCCCCAAGGTCCTCACTCAAATAAGAGCACTTACTCTTAAAATGTGTAAGATGGAATGTCTGGGCACAATGAGCTTAATTGAAGATTGAATGCAGCCTTCATTGAATTTTCTTACTTTGATACTACCACTTGAAATCAGTGCTATCTGGAGAAAATGTACTGTTGGATCTTATGTCAAAGGGAGCATTGTCACAAACCTCTATTCTTTTATTTTAAGGAGTTTGTCTGAAAAAGAAAAATTGTAGCAGTAGCTTTCAAATTTAGCAATCTGGGAAGCTTTTCAAACCAACATTTTATCAAAATCCAATTGAATTCTGTTTCCCATTACTGCTGTTAATAAAGATACAAATGTGTAAACCAGCCTTATGCCTTTTGCTAGGGCTGGGCAATGCCATAATCCGTTGTTGAGGACATCAGTGAATCTGACAGAATTGGTAAGAGAATAGGACATGTTTCCCCACATATATTTTGCAAATCCACAATGATAGAAAATAAACTGACATTTGATGGAATTGTACTACATATTTAGCTTTTTCAATCTATGGTCGTAGTTCCGTACCAAACTTATTTTCTCAAAATTAAACTTCTTTGCTAGCCTTTCCCAAAAAGACACAGGAAAGCATATTCAGGGCTCTACTACAAAAAAAAAAAACGGACACTTTCATAAGGAAACATAACTGAAAACAGAAAGATTAAACAAGACTGCAGTTTGTTACATTTTTTGACAATGTACAGAATAAGCCATCTTCACAGATTTCTACACAATACTGCAACTTTGCTGAAGGATATTTGAGTTAAAGAAAGATGAAATACCACAAATTCATCAATATGACTTTATATTAAAGAAAGAGTTGGCTGCCAAAAGCTACCAGTGTTAACAAATATGATAGTTATCAAATATGGAATTGTTACTTAAACAATTTTGTTTTACATAGTTTCTTGCTGTTCAACTTAAAATTAAGGAAAAAAATCACAATTTGAAAATTATACATTTCGGCCTCAATAGAAGTCCACATTAATGGGATGCTTGCACTCACAGCATTAACAGACTTCTGTAACTAAGATTTCAAATTTATTCTATTTACATACTTTTGTGTAATCAAAAGAAGATTACCAAAGACCAGGATACAGGTATTTTAGCTCAACACACCAAAGCCACAACAAGGAAAGACTGTCCAAGGTATTCATCTAAACTTTTTAAACAAGGACAATGTTTTAACGCAGCGTAGTGAGATCTTACTAAAGCAAAGAAACCTAGTTAAAGGCTTGTACTCCACCCTTAACTAACTCTTTAGAGTTTATCAGGGATTATTTGAGAAATGTGCCAAAAAAGTAGAAGGCACGTCAACAAAGCAATGACCTTGTCTAAGGTATAAAAGTCATAGCAAATCAAGAGATCATGATAGTTTACTACTTATCTGTTTGATGGCAGATAAATATGACTTCCAGCCAAGAATATGTTTCCGATCATTCTTTATTACTCAGGGGCAGAGCTATCTAACTTAATCCTTTGTTGCACAACCAACTATGAAAGACTGGCTTGGATACTTGATGTAAGTAACCAAACCCTTAAGGCAGGACGTGGTACAATTAATCTACCTTCCAAGAGTCTGGGGTCTTCCATAAATCCCTGGCAGGATTAGATTACTGAATCAATTGTTAATGGGCACAGCAACCCTGCCCACCTGATGTGGTTCCCAATGTTCAGTCTATGAGCCTTCTCCGAAGACAAGTCAATTGAAGGTGCAGTGCTTCTGGGGAGATCTTATAAGTATTTAATTATACTCTCAGAAAATTTCAGTGTGCTGGTCCCCTTAAGAGCAGGTGCCACCAGCCTACTTGTTAGTAGGACTCAGGCATTTATGGTCAGACATTTAGGGAACTTATGGCCCCAGAGAGAGCACAACCTCCTGGGACAATCAGGGTATAAGAGCTACCTAGACTCACTGCAAGAAGGATTACTTAGAGAGTAGAAGCTGGGTAGGGAAGCTCTCCTGGTATCCAAGGAGAGGAAGATACCCAAGCAATCCCTGGAAAAAGATGGGCAAGTCTGCATTTAAGAATGAAGAGTTATTAGAATCCTCTGGCCAAAGGGAAAAGATCAAACAGACTCTAGGAAGCAGACTGTGTTGATGAACACCAGATACATAGGGGAAAGACTAGAAGAAGCCCGGGTACAAGGGTTAAGGTTTGTGAATAGTCTTGTCTGATTCCCAAAGACTATTAGACTTTCGAAAGAGGACTGTAGAAACCTGAGATAAAGGTTCAGAATGGGAGGGTTTCCTCTACTAGTGACAGGATATAACTTACTTAAAATCTTCCCACCTCACATAACAGCAGCTGAATTGTCTTGGTCATGACATCCTCTGGAAAAGATATATATTTGTATCTGCCTCCTCTTCTACAGGGTCACTTTCTCTGTCACATTCAACCACAGTTGAGCAGATTATACTGGTGGTTTGGAAGGCTTACAGACTTTGACTGTGCAGTTTTCACATTAGTACAATAAGGACAATGGCTATCCCAAGATACCTGGCAACGAAGGTAAAACAGTGGCATGTTTCCCACAAGGCAGCAAGGTCAAAGCAAAGTCCCCGGTTCCCAGTGTTCATTTTCAGGAGAATCATATGTCCCAGTGTAGATGCAGGATTAATTGGTGAGGGGCTTCTGCTCAGGTGCATCAAGAAAGATCTCTGAGATGGGGATGAGTACACCAATTCCCACCCCTTCAAGTTAATCAGAACCAAACTCTGAACACCAGATTGGATTGGCACCAAGAACTGAAGGGCCGAGGTGGTAGTCTCAGCAATAGGAAAGAGGATTATTTTCTCACCTCTGATTTCTCAGCTAGCACAGGAGCCAGTAACTTAATTTTTGTCACTACGAACATGAATTTCCCTTTCAACACCAGAGTCTCCTTGGAATGGGAACTTCTTTCTGCCAGGTATTACAGATACACTGTCTCCAGACTTCAGAGGCAATTGTGGTCCTGTCTCCTCTTTCTTGTCAGTCTCTTACCACTGATGAAGAATATGTGGATCAGTCTGATGTGCCCCATCTTCCACCTTCCAGAATGTCCATACCTTCTTAGCCCCAGACTTAGACATTCTAAGGTTGGATCTTCACAGATTCACAGATTTAGAGAGTTTAAAGTCATAAGGCACCATTAGATCATCTTATCTGGGCTTCTGCACATTAAATTTCACCCAGTTATCCCTGTACTGAGCCCAATCACTTACTGTTTGGCTAAAGTATATCTTTCAGAAATACATCCACTCTTGATCTGAAGACTTCAAGAGATGGCAAATCCACCACTTCCCTTGGCAATTTGTTCCAGTGGTTAACCACCTTCATGACTCAAATTCAGTGCCTAATTCTACTTTTAATTTGTTTGGCTTCAGCTTCCAGCCACTGGTTATTCTTATGCCTTTATCCACTAGATTAAAAAGCTCTTTTAGTGTTTGGGTATTTTCTCCCCAAGCCTCCATCAGCATGGATAAGATTTGAAACTCCATTCTTGAATGGGCAGCTTGTAAATGTAAGGCAGATGTGGCAGGGACTGGGTAAAGTCCCCTTCACCCAAGCATCAGAAAACAAGTACGAGTCTGAGATAGGAAATTTGTTGTTACAAGACAGGCATTTCTTAAACCATTTTTTTTTTGCTGAATCTGCCATCTTTAGTGAGGCACGTTATTAGAAATCAAGTTTTAGGCAAAACAGAAGTTTTTCTTTGAGTGCTTGTTCGATTCCAATCAGGTGTGTGCGTGTTCACATGCATGATGGCCAAAAGATTTTTCCCTTAGCAGCAGCTGTCGGGTCGGCCTTGGCACCCCCTGGAGGCGCACCCTTATGGCACCTAATATATAGCTCTGCCGACCCGCCACCCCTTCAGTTCCTTCTTACCACCAGTGACAGTGGTTGGAACTTCCCTTGGCTCTTGCTCAGCAAGTTTCTTCATTATTCCGTGTATATAGTTAGTTAGTTGTTGTTAGTACTCCAGTTAAAGTTTAGTATAGTATAGTAGTTGGGGTCCCCCCTCACTCCAGCCCCAGCACCGTGGCATGCTGCGGTCCCCGGGATTTAAGAACTGCATGGCAGGAACCTTCCACCAATGGTACACGCTTCCTCCTCCTCGTCACCGGACGAAGCGTTGGTAAGGACGTTCATAGCTCCTGCGTTAGAGGACAACAGAGTTCTACAGTAGTTGCTCCGCAAGGCTGCCCAAGGTTTGGGCATCAAGGCTGAGGAGGTGGTTGAGGACACAGATCCCATGGAAGACATCCTAGCACCCCTCAGGGCCTTCATAGGTAGCGTTACCCCTCATAAAGACAGTGGTGGACACCACCAAGGCTCTACGGCAGATGCCGGCATCCCGGCCACCCACTGCCAAATGCAATGAGCGCCGGTATTTCATCCCCTCTAGAGACTTTGAGCATCTCTACACCCATCCGCCTCCGGACTCACTGGTCGTCAATGTGGCTAACCAGTGAGAGAGTCAAGGTTCCCAAGGTCCGTCCCCAAAGAATAGGGATGCTAAACGCCTGGACCTCGTGGGTAGAAAAAAATCTACTCCACTGGTGATTTACAACTCCATATTGCTAACCAGCGGGCCATTGTGAGCAGGTACTCTTATAACACTTGTGCTTCCATGGCTAAGTTCACGGAGCTCATCCCTTCCGACTCTCGATCAGAGTTCACCGCCTTGTTGGAAGAAGGGAAATTAGTCTCTCATGCTTCACTGCAGGCAGCCTTAGATGCTGCCACAAGAGTCACGGCAACAGGGGTGGCTATGCGGCAGGGGGCCTGGTTGCAAGTCTTCTCTAAGAAGTCCAACAAACAATTCAGAACCTCCCGTTTGAGGGTGAGACTCTGTTTTCAGAGAATACGGACAAACAGCTCCACAGCCTAAAAGATTTCCGAGCCAACCTCAGATCCTCGGGCTTGCGTATCCCCGCCACACAGCGGAGACACTTCCGCCCACAACCTCCTCAAAGGTTCCAGCAGCAGAACTGCCAGGACAATTCTAGGAGAAGGAACCAGAGCGGTAGGAGAAGGCAACATCCCTCCGCTAATCAAGGTCAGCCCAAACCGCCCTATGGCCCTAAACCGGCCTTTTGAAGGTGCGGTCGAGGACGGCGCACCACTCCAGAGACTGGATTCACCCTGCCTTACCTTTTCCTCCTGACTATCCCCTTTCTACCATGCATGGTCCCGTATAACTTCGGACCGCTGGATGTTCTGCACGGTAGAGAGGGGATACTCCATCCAATTCTGTGCCCTCCCGCCCTTCCACACCCATTCCCTGTCCCTCTTCAGGGACCCTTCTCACAAACAACTTCTCATTCAGGAGGTGCAGTTGCTCCTAGTGGAGGAGGTTCCACTGGAACACAGGGGCAAGGGTTTCTATTCCCGCTATTTCCTAATACCGAAGGCCAAAGGCAGCCTAAGGCCTATACTGGACCTGAGCGACCTCAACAAGTTTGTGAGGAAACTCAGGTTCCGCATGGTCTCCCTGACCTCCATTATCCCTTCACTGGATCCAGCAGACTGGTATGCCGCCCTCAACATGAAGAACATGTATTTTCACATAGCAATCGGGCACAACCACTGAAAATTCCTCAAGTTTGTGGTCAATAGTTCCCATTACCAATTTACTGTCCTCCCTTTCGGCCTGTCAGCGGCACCTTGAGTCTTCACCAAGTGCATGGCAGTCGTCACCACCTTTCTGCGGAAACATCAAATACAGGTGTTCCCATACCTCGACGACTGGCTGATTAAAGGCCGATCCAGGGCTCAGGTGGCATTCATCAGAGCCACTTTTGAGAATCTGGGCCCCCTACTGAACGAGACGAAATCAACTCTGTCCCCGGTCCAGAGGATAGAGTTCATAGGGGAGGTTCTGGACATTCCTCCCCCAGGCAAGATTCCAGGCCCTCGACGCCATGATCCAGGGACCAGACCGTTCCCCACCACCACCGCGAGAAATTGTCCCAAACTTCTCAGCCACATGGTGGCCTGTACGTACGTGGTTCGGCACGCCAGACTCAGGCTTCGGCCGCTTCAGTCGTGGCTTGCGTCAGTATACAGACCTGCCAGAGACAGCTTGGACAGGATCGTGACCCTGCCTCACCCTATCCTCGACTCACTCCTGTGGTGGAAGGACGCTCAGCAGGTGTGCTCAGGAGTCCCCTTTGCTGCCCCACAACCATCCCTGATGCTAGTGATGGACGCCTTAGACTTGGAGTGGGGAGCTCATCTGGGGGAGCACAGGACACAGGGACTCTGGTCACAGACAGATCTCCATCTTCATATCAATGTCAGGGAGCTCAGGGCGGTATGCCTAGCGCATCAGCCATTCCGCCCGTCTCTAGCGGGTCAATGTGCATCGGTCATGACGGACAATACGACCGCGATGTTCTATATCAATAAACAGGGGGGTGCACGCTCCTTTCCCCTGTGCCAGGAAGCTCTCAGGTTATGGGACTTTTATATAGAGCACACAGTCGATCTATAGGCGTCATACCTTCCAGGGGTCCAGAACGAGCTGGCGGACCGCCTCAGCAGATCTTTTCACAGCCATGAGTGGTCCCTTCGCCTGGACAACGCATCTTCACTCTTCCAGAGGTGGGGCTGTCCCCTGATCGACCTCTTTGCCATGCGACGCAACAGGAAGTGTCAGCAGTTCTGCTCCTTCTAGAATCACAGTCCAGGCTCCACAGCGGACGCGTTCCTCCTCCAGTTGGGGGGGGGGGGGGGGGGGACACTGCTTCTTTATGCCTTCTCACCCATACTGCTCGTCCACATGGTCCTGCTCAAGATCCGCAGAGACAAGGCTCAGGCCATTCTCATAGCACCAGCCTGGCCCCGCCAGCATTGGTACACGTCTCTCCTAGACATGTCAGTCAGAGCCCTGATTACCCTGCCACTCTTCCCAGACCTTCTCACACAGGAAGACGGGCGGCTCCAGCACCCGAACCTGCAATCACTGCATCTCACAGCCTGGAGGTTCCATGGCTGAATACATTTGAGCTCTCCTGTTCAGAACAAAGCAGAGTTCTCTTGGGCAGTAGGAAACCCTCCACTAGGGCCACACACCTGGCCAAGTGGAAGAGATTTTCAATCTGGTCAGCTCAGCACGACTTTCCCCCGGCGCTAGCCTCAGTGCCCCAGATTTTGGATAACCTTTTCTACTTAAAGCAGGAAGGTCTCTCCTCGTCTTCTATAAGAGTACACCTGGCTGCCATCTCGGCTTGCCACCTGGGGGTACAGGGCCGCTCGGTTTTCGCTAACCCCCGGTCAGTCGCTTCCTGAAGGGCCTCAACAGGTTGTACGCGCACATCCACCAACCGGTTCCTGCTTTTGACCTTAACTTGGTCCTCCCTAGGCTCATGGGGCATCCCTGTGAGCCTCTAGCTCCCTGCTCTACCTCTCCTACAAGGCTGCGTTCCTGGTGGCAATACTTCAGCCCGGAGGATGTCTGAGCTCAGGGCTCTAACGTCCGAGCCGCCCTACACCGTGTTTTTTTAGGGACAAGGTTCAGCTCAGGTCCCATCCGGCCTTCCTCCCGAAGGTGGTGTCACAGTTCCACCTCAATCAGGACATTTTCCTTCCACTTTTTTACCCAAGCCTCATGCGAGTAGCAGGGAGCAGAGGCTCCACACTCTCTATGTCCGCAGAGTGCTGGCCTTTTACATCAAAAAGACGAAGCCGTTCAGGAAGTTGGTACAGCTCTTTGTCACAGTACCGGACAGGATGAAGGGCCAGCCTGTATAGACAGCGCATTTTATCATGGATTGTAGCCTGCATTACCAAGTGCTACAATCTAGCAGGAATCCCCGCGTCGCCGATAACAGCGCACTCTACAAGGGCGCAAGCTTCATCAACAGCTTTCCTGGCTCAAGTCCCCACCCAGGACATCTGCCGGGCAGTGACGTGGTCATCATTACACAGTTTCGCCGCACACTATGCAATTACTAGGCAGGCCAGAGATGATGTGGCCTTTGGTAGATCAGTACTCCAGTCAGTGGACAGCTCCGACCCCAGTTACCAAATCTGCTTGGGAGTCACCTGATTGGAATCGACACGAACAAGCACTCGAAGAAAAAACGGTTACTCACCTTCTCGTAACTTTTGTTCTTCGAGATGTGTTGTTCATGTCCATTCCAATACCCATCCTCCTACCCCTCTGTCGGAGTAGCCGGCAAGAAGGAACTGAAGGGGTGGCGGGTCGGCAGGACTATATATCAGGCGCCATGAGGGTGTGACTCCAGGAGGCACCCAGGCCGACCCAACGAATGCTGCTGAGGGAAAAATCTTCCGGCCATCGTGCACACATCTGATTGGAATGGACATGAACACCACATCTTGAAAAACTGTTATGAGAAGGTGAATAACAGTTTTTTTGAGGTACCAGAGAATTCTGTCTGGCTGCTCTGGTGGCTGTTGTGGAAGGCAAATGTATGGATATGCCTCAGCTAACCTTGTGGATCTTCTTCTGCAACTAGAATTTTTTGTCAATGTCCCTCTTTCCCCACCACCCAACAGAGAGAGCTTCCTAGGAAGTTATTGGTTTTACTATGGGGTGGACAGCACATCCCCAAAATAGGGATCTGTTTGTACTAACAATACTCTGAAAGGGCTTTCCTGGAGACAGTGCTTCTTAACTAAGAAAAGGTGCTGCCTCTGGCAAATGAAGTTATTATTGTGTCTATCCCATCCTATCTCATAGAACTGGAAGGGACCCCGAAAGGTCATTGAATCCAGCCCCCTGCCTTCACTAGCAGGACCAAGTCCTGATTTTGCCCCAGATCCCCAAGTGGCCCCCTCAAGGACTGAACTCACAACCCTGGGTTTAGCAGGCTAATGCTCAAACAACTGAGCTATCCCTCCCCCCATCCTACCCCTTTAGCACCAAGCATTTGATGCTGACAATAGTTCAATGTTAAACACTCCAGTTTTCAACATCTAAACTTAGCATTTATCCACCACAGAACACCACACTGTGGTGCCAAGGAATAAATACCAAATTATGTTAAATTGGGATCATGCAATATATCTAGCTCTTAGCACTTTTCATCACTAGATATATCAAACTACAATCCTACTGTGTCAAACTCATCCTGATTTGGTTAGTATAATTCATATTCATCTAGTCTAGTATGGAGAGACAAGAACAGAATTTCAGGTATAACTGGAGTCTTCACACCTAAACTGTAGTATGATTTAAATGCAGTTTAACAAAATATCCTTACTGTTAAGTGCACACTAGCATTAAACATCAACATGTTCATAAAGAATATTTACACCATCAATACATAGTTTGTTGCTACAGAAAATACATCTGAAAAAAGCAAAGAAATGTAAAGTTTAGCCACCTCACAGAATATACTCTGCTTATAAAGCACACCCCTTACAACCATATGGCACAGACTATCCATTGCAACCTTCATTCTGATTCCCTCAATCATCGTTCCGTATACACACACACCATTACCAGATTCCACCCCCAGCCTTGAAACATTAGTAATTTTGAAAGTCTGATGTAATAGCTGACTGTATCAGAAGAGGATAGCTACATAAAAGGGAAGTTTGCAGAAAGGTGGTTAAAGGGCAGAAGTGAAGCTGCTGATTAAGATTTTATTTAACAGCTGCTCACAAAAAACCTCCCCCATTGCAGGATAAAGTAACAGAAAAATGTAGTTCCTGATGTAGATTTCTTCTGATGGAGAAGACTGGAGCTAGATACACACAGTCAGACTTGCATATGTCCAAGTCATATGCAAGTTTTATTTATGCAAGTAACAACTAAAAATTACCCTAAATGGGTAAAAAAAATGCCACACACAAAACCTATCAATTGCACCAGAATCAACTTCAAGCTATTTTTCTATAGACTGACATAAATCTTTTAACGAGTCTATCATTGAGACACAAGACTGCCAAGGTCAATTTTCAGCCACACCCCAATTTAAAAATAAATTTTAATTTGCAAAAATCATACCAGTGGCCCCTATTTTTAAAAGAAAAGCAGCTGTGTGCCTTTTTAAAATGCAACCCTAACTACGCAGGTGGTCCCAGACACCTGCACAAGAAGAATAAGTATATTTATAGTATGTTTATCCAAGTAATTTCTTCCTACACTATGTATAGAAAAACCACTCAAACTCTATATCTTGGTTATTTACTTCTGAAAATAGACAGGACTATGGAATAATCTCCTCAAATTTTTTTCTTAAAAAGGCTTATTAAGAATAATAGCCTATTATCTACAGCCATGCTAGTGGAAAAAGGTTAC